GAAAGCCTAGAAGCCGAGGGAAGTGGGGGGGGGAGCGGCGTCCACAGGGGGGGCCACCCGGGAGCTCCTGGGACCCCCTGGGGGAGGATTGCTATTCTGACCCGGGACCCGCCTGGGGCCCTGTGGCGCGGTGGGGGTCCCCGGAAGGGTTTTTCGATCCGAGTCAAGTGCGGCGTTGCGCGTTGTTCAATGTCCCTGTGGCTCATTCGTTTGATATGAGTAAGGCCAGGGCAAGCAGGGGGCGTTGGCGACGAGGACGAATACGACGACGACGAACGGAAGGCGACGACGACGACGACGAGAAGAGCGTCTCGCATTCGCCTACACTGCCGGCGAATTTGGCAGAACAGTTTCATAGGCACAGGGAGCGTAGTTTGAATTCTTCTTTCAGCAATGGCTTTAATGTTTGTGTGGTTGGTGTATTTGGCAAGCAGCGCAAACAGTGGGTGGCGCATGTTGTTGAGGACCGTTAGCCACGACGAGGTAATTTTGCGTGCGCAAGCGGGAAGCCGAAACTGTGTGTAAGCGCGAGTGGGTCTCTCCATTGTTTGAAGTTTTCTCCATTGTCTAAACAAGACATTGGACTTGCATTATGGTGCACAGTGTCACTCAGCCTTGTCAGTAAGGTCTCCTGGAGTCACAAGGATGGACGACTTGACTTCGTTGGCAAGGAACTGGCGTTTGACTGGCGTAGATGTTTTTCGCCCGGCTTGGTTTTCGCCCAGTGCGTTTCGCCCGGTTCGTTTCGCCCGGGTTTGCCTTCGCCCGGGTTGGCTTTCGCCCGGGGTGGCTTTCGCCCGGGTTGGTTTTCGCCCGGGTTGGCTTTCGCCCGGGTTGGCTTTCGCCCGGTATGCTTTCGCCCGGGTTGTCTTTCGCGCCCAGGTTGGCTTTCGCCAGGGTTGGCTGTCGCCTGGGTTGGCTTTCGCCCAGGTTGGCTTTCGCCCGGTTTATCTGTCGCCCAGGTTGGCTGTCGCCTGGGCTCGTTTTTGCCTGAGTTCGACCGTGCCGTTTGACTGTGATCCCTTACGCGGACGCGTGCGTTCCGACGTATGGTCGTTAGTCCGCAGGGGTATGTTTTTTTGTTGGCATGCAGTCTACCCGCAACACATTGCAGCGTCCCAAAACCGGACACACTTTCTATCCCAAATCACGGGACGCGCCGCGCACGGCCCCCGCGTGAGGACACGGAGGCGCCCGACGACGAGCCCGGCGCCGCCGGCCAGAGCCCTGCCCGCGAGGCCCGCGCTTGCAGCAGCGCGGGCAGTCCCGAGGTCACCGAGGGCGCGCCGGAAGACCAGGAGGCGGAGGCCGTGGCCGGGGCGGCGTGCGCCGAGGCCCGGGTCGAGGTTGAGTGTCCGGCGGGGCCCCCGGCCAGCCCGGCCAGTGCAGGCACGGGCCCCGAGGCTGTTGGTGGCGGCCTGGGAGGGGAGGCGGAGGAGGCCCAAAGTGGGAAAAGTGTGACCTCCACCCCCATGCCGGCGCTAGGATCTGTCTTCAGTCTTGGCGGGGGGGGTCAATTCGCAGGTGGGGTGGGTGTGCAATGCGCACTGTTTCTTCCTTGTGGGAAAAGTGAACCATCCCTGCATCGCCACATAAATCATCTTTTCTGCCGCTGTGCCCCTCCATGGGGGTGGTGTATGCAACTCGCACCTTCAGAGGAAGAGGAGGTGGATGCCACAGCCGAGGCAGGCCCCGCTGGCGCGGCCGACACATCCCCCGCCGCGGAGGAGCGATGGGGCACCCACTGCGCACACCCAGCCTCTGATGTTAATTATTGCTCTTGGCTCGTCCTTCTGCAGCTGCTGCTCCTCGTCCCTCTCGTTCTCACTATCGTCCTCATCATCCTTATTCACCTTCTCTTCTTGCTCCCCTTCCTCTCTGCTTTCACACATCTCCACTCCTGAGGCCTTGGGGCGGGAGTGGGTGCCGTAGGCTTGCGATGCGGCGACGCCGCAGGGACCCTGGCGCGGGCAGTGAAAGTTGAGCGTCGCCGGTGGCTCAAAGTGGGCCGACATCAAGCGATTTGCGCTATCGGAAAGCCGCGATCGCTCAATGCCCTCAAGGCTGAACGTCGAAGAAGAGCAACGCAACATACAACATACACACAAAGTTATGTTTATGTGTGCCACTTAACGCCTCTGGAGCGATCCACGCGGTGTCAGAAACCCACGCCGACGTCATCGCTCGCATGGCGCTGCCGTGCATTCTTGCGCCGCGCTTCGGTTTGATTCTGACGCCGTGCCGGTGCGGCCCGGTCCGACGCACTTTTTGATGCGATCCAATGTGTCGATCCGATGTTTCTTTTAGGGGCATCGACGGGGGGGTCTGGCTCAGGAGGGGTTGTGTCGACATCGACCACCAATCGCCCATTCCTCGCCGATCGGGCCATGGGCTTCCCGCCCTGCCCAGGGTCGGAGGTTCGCCATCGGCGGCCTATCGCCGATTGGTCGGCAATGTATCGCCGATTCCAAGCCACCCCGCCAACTTGCCGGCGCGCACACAGGGGTTGGCGAGAGGGGCGCGGCCTGAAGGTGGAGGGGCTTCCCCCCAAGCTTCTGAGAAGCCATCTCAGAAGCATACAGGGCCTTTCCCAAGAGAGCCGCCGCCTCCTACGAAGCGCCTTCTTAGAAGGCTGTTCCCCTCGCGCCACCCTGCGCGCCGCCAAGATTGGGGGACTGCCTCAGGGGGGGGCAATGGCCTGGCCTGGAATCGCCGATAAGTCGGCGATCCTGGGCTTGGTGGGGCCCCCGTGCCCCGATTGGCGAGGAAAATTGGCGATGGAGGGTCGATGCGCTTCTCCCCTGAGCCAGCCAGCCCCCCGATATATCCCTGAGGCATATCTTTTCTGTTCGATGGGCGGCCCCGGAGGTCCCGACCTGTTCTCGCCACGGGCCATTCAGTCCTGATGGTCCCGGTGTCCCAGGACGGGCCCTTCGAGGGGACGAACCATGTCGTCAGATCTCTGGGTCTGTCGTTGCAGCGCCATGCGAGCACTGGGCCGCACCGGATCGTCGAAATACAGGGATCAGATCGGATCGAGCCGGCCAGAATCTACATCGAATCGGACTGATGGATCGGATCGAAACGGACCATGCGATGGCGTCGGCGTGGGGTTCTGACACTGCGTTCCAAACTCTTGGCTTGTCCTGCCACCGCGACGCGAGCCTTGCCGGAGTCAGAAGTGCGCGCTCCCGCGGCTCGCCAGAGAGGACGCCGAGCTGCCCGCCGAGGCCTCCGCGCAGCAGGCCCCCGCAGAGGAGTCGGGTCGGACGAACGGGGGGTGGGCCACGATCGACGAGGGCATCCACATCCCTGCCCATGCCCTCTCGGTCTGGACTCCGGGGCACGATCCCGTGGATAGGCGCGCGGGGCATCCGCGCAACGCCGCTCTGTATCCATCGGGTCGCGGCCGAGGAAGCCAGACCGCGATGCTGTGGACATGCATGTGTTTCCCGCCCGCGAGGAGTAGGGAAAGGAGGGGGTGGGACACCTACTGCGTGCAGCTGATCTCGACCCCGCCGCTCGGCGTTCTCCTCGATGCAGTGGCGTCTCCGGCGCTGGAACGCGCCAGAAACAACAGCTCCCTACGTGGGCAGATGCGCCAGCACCCCCTGCGTTACCCTCCCCCGTGTCGTCCGCCCCGAAGGAGGCCAGCCCCGCACGCGAGAGCCCGGGCCGCCCCGAGGCCGCCGTGGCCGCTCCGCGGGACCACGAGGCTTCATCCCCCCCCGTCGCGTCGCAAAAATATTGCGACAGCTTTGAAGGCAAGAGCGCTTGCCTTCAACTATCTGTGCATGGCTTCAATGGTTTTGTTTGCCCTCAGTGAGCTCATCACTCTTCCCCGTGCCGCCTGGAGCACCCGCCTGCCCCCCTCCTACTACTCTGGTTCCTCCTTCCCCCCTCCGGTTTTTCGTATATCCTCTGCCCAGTGGGGCCATTACCAGGCCTCGGGACCTTTGGGGTCCACGTTATGAGAAAGTCACGGCGTCGGGGGTGGGGAGTCTGCATGAAAGTTTCGGAGGTGGGCCAGTCGGCCGTCTCTGTGTTCTTATTCATTGAAGACTCCTGGAGGCTTCTCGTCGCCACGGCTAGATCTGCCTGGAGAAGCAGGTCCACGGACCCAATTGAGCGAGTTTGGTTCGGGCTCACGGCGGAGCGAGCCCGTAGCAAACTACGTCGAGACCAGCAGAAGGGCAAGACGGGAGGATGCAGCTCACCAGTCGAATCCGAGGCCCAGCCCCCGCCCTCGAGCATTCAGAAGTATCCGGCCACATCGTTGTTCAGGCCGTCTCCTGCTTCGTAGACGGTGCTTTTGTCGTTTTCATACGCCGCCGTGGGATCCGGGGACCTCGTCGCCGCGGTAGGCCGGCCACACGGGCCTAGTCGCCGCGGTGGGCTCAAGTGGGGAGGGGGCGAAGACGTGGTCGGTTAGTGATTTGCGCGACGATAATTGAAAGCTCCACGCGCGTTCGCAGCCAGGAATGAATTCGCGGTCTGCGCGGGGCCATTGCAGGCGTGTTTCACGTGAGGGTGCGGATCGAAACGCCTTTCTCCAAATGCGTTCCACATTTCTTGAAAGGGGGGTAGGGCTTCCGATTTCATTGGTTACAAACGGCCGCGGAACCATTGTTCAGAACAGAGCGACCGAAGAAAGTGGTTTGGGTCAGCACCACACTGTTTCCACCACTGTGTCGGGCTCGTTTCAAGCCCCGCCAGTTTTCGGTGAGCGGCCAGGTTCAGGTTCCTCCCCCTGTTTCCACGATTGCGAGGATGTGGCGAAAGTGCTATGCTGATTGCGGTAAGCGGCGAGGTTGCAGAGTTTCCGAGATTCTCCAAACACTGTTGGCGGGGTCCTCGCGGAAGGGCGTCCTTGAGGCCTCGGAGCGTTTCATTTACCAAGTCCCCGCCAGTTCTTGCCAACCTTGGCCACTTCTCATTTCATGTAATACCTCTTTCCGTGTCTTCCAAGTCGGGGCGAATCCCCCGCGGGTTCCTTTCTGGCTTCTCGGTGCTGCGGCCATCACTCTTGCGGACCTACGTCCGCGGGGTTTGGTCCCTAGATCGTCTTCGCTGAGGGGTGTTCAGCCGAAGGGCAAAACCATGCACTTTCTGAGGTTTCCCTGGGCCCCCCTGTGGGGGCGCTTCCAGTGCCGCCCCCAGCGCGCTCCGCTCCGCGCCAGGGGGGTCCAGCCGACGGCCCAGGATGTCCGTGGCGGGACCGGAGACAGGTCAACGACCATGCCTGCATTTTGCTTTGCCACGGGCGGAGGGCGTGCGGGAATCATCGTAGTCTGGTTTTCGGATCATAGCTCGGGCAGCCCCGGACGCCTCTCGGTGAGGCGTTTTGTTGCTGAAACGCGCCCCGAGGCAGGAAACTCTTTCTGAGACCCGACGACGACGTCCGAGAGCTTCCCCCGAGGAGCGCGACGGGGCTGGGGCCGAGCCAGAGCACCCGGCCGAGCCGGAGCCTCCAGCGGAGCCCGCCAGCACAGGGGCGGGCCCCGAGGCCGCCAGCGACGGCCACGAGGCGGTCGCCGCGGCTGCGGCGGGCCCCGCGGGCGCGGAGGAGCGGTGGGCAGGGCACGCCCGCCGAGCCTTCGATGTGCTCGCTGTCGTGTCTCGGGTCGGCCGGCATGGGAGGGAGGGTTCGGTAGCAAGTCATGGGAGCCTTGCGTGCCATCGCAATCCTGTTTTTAGAGTGCACTGGCGTCGATCAGTGTTTGGCAGTCTGTGGCATAGCTCCGATTTAGCGTCGATTAGCATCGATAGGCGTCGATTTAGCTTTGTTTAGCGGCGATTCGCAAGAGCCAGCAAGATGGTATGGGAGGCCCCCATGAGTTGCCACCGAAAAATGGGAGAATTGGAAAAGGGGGGCACGAAATCTACCTCGCCGCCGGGCGTGTTCCTCGATACACTGGCGCCTCGGGCGCCGGCGGGAGGCGTCGGGAGAAGTAGCTACGTGAGCTGGCTACCCCCCCCCCTCCCTGGACCCGACCAGCACGCCCGCTGAGTTGCCGATATGCTTCTTTTCTTATCGGGAGTGGCCTTTGGCATGCGAGATCCCACCAGAGTTTTCGGACGTTCGTCTGCTCCTGATGGTTGTCCTGTTTCGGGATACGTTCCAGCAGCTGCACCTCGCCGAGAGTCGTTCTTGGGATGCCCGAAACGTTCCGAGCGTCCGCTAGAGACCCGGTTTTATCTAGAACGCCAGATGTAACAGGAACCCTTCACCGGATTGACCTCATGTGCCTGGACTTCTGTGCCAGCCCGCAGCGGTCCCCCGAGTACCGGCCTGCGCAGTGTGGTATTTGGCATCCCCGCGGCCCTCTAACAGCTGCGCACCCGAGGTCACTCTTGACTAGGGCAACTCTCTTGTAGCCAATATTTCCTCTTTTCGAATAGCCCAACACAGGATTCCGCATTCCTGGGCCCTGTTTTCTGTTATGTGTCGTCTTATTCTCTTCTGTCCAGTTGATTGCGGCCTTCCTTTATCTTGACGCCTTGAGTAGCTCGCATGGAGCTCTTCTGGGCCGTCCTGGAGTTGTATTGGCCTGCTTTGGGCCAGTTTTGGGGACCCTCGGGACTGTCTTAGTACCCACTTTGATCCTCTTGGGGCCCTCTTTGCCGTGTTGGGGGGGAGGGTTCTGGGGGCCTTTGTGGGCCGTCTTTGCGCCGTCTTCGCCCGTTGACGGATCCTTTCAGGCCGTTGTGGGTCTCGTCAGCGGCTGTTTTGGGCCGTCTTGGCCTCTACGGCCATCTTGGGGTTCTCGTGGGTGGTTTTGGGGCCATTGTGGGGGTTTCTTGGGCCGTCTTGGGGCCAACTTGGGGGTTTCTGTGGCGCCCTTGAGCTAACGGAAGCCCGAAAAGGCTAGGGTGCGAGAATTTATGACACATTCAGGGAAGATCAATGATTGAGGCATCTTCGGACCCTGTTTGGTGTCCTCGTGTGGCCCTCCTGGCACCTCTTGCGGCCCTTCTTGGACCTCTTGCGGCCCTCTTGTGCTCTGGTGCCGTCTTGAGGTCATCTTGGTGTTCTTAGAGCCTGCCTCGCCTGGCTTGGAAACTCTGAGCGGACCCATGGTTCTCATACGGGAGCGGACCCGCAGTTCTCCTAGGAAGTATCGTTGCATCGGGGAGAAGGAGCTGTGCACGCAACCAGTGCTACGAGAAGGGGGGGCTTAGACGAACACGACACCCCTACCAGGCAGCTCTTAGCATTCCACCGCGCCTCACCCTGCCAGGGCGCGCACGGTAGCCGACTTTCTGTGATTCAATTTTTGGTGTCTGCGTTTGTCCTTGAGCTCGTAGTCCTCGACCTCCTCCCAGTCCTCAATGCCATTCTGCTATCGTATTTGCGAGTTCCGCCCTTCCTGGTCCTCCTGGCAGTTCTTCGTTTAGGAAGCTTGTGTACCGCTCGGGATATCTCCGGAGCGGTGTTCACGATCTTATCCTCGCTGCGCTCGTAATCCTTTTGAGAACGAGGCGTGAGTACAATGCTCGCGCCCCCGCCGCGTGTGCCCTCCCCCCCCCTCCCCCCCGTCTTACAATCCCTACAGCCGAAAGCGGGGTGTGGCTGCAGCGCCTTTTGTCATCGAGCCACGGCCTTGCAGCAGCGCGGATGCGCTCTAGCACTTCGTTTTGACTGGGTAAGCGCGTTCCAGCAGCCCGCGTTCGCTGCAGCATCGAATGTTTACCGAGCGAAAGCGCTCCAGCAGCCCACGGCGCTCCAGTTCTACCTTTTTACCGAGCGAGGTGTTCCAGCAGCTCTCGGCGTGCGTTTCAGCTCTGCGTCTGGTTTAAAGAGGCGCGATCCAGCAGCCCGCGGCACGCTCCGTCGACATCGACAGCCACGTCGCCGTCGCCACCGTGGACGTCGCCGTCGCCGCCCTCGCCGCCGCCACCGCCGCCGCCATCGCAACCGTCGCCGTCGTTACCGCCGCCAGCGTCGTCTTCGCCGCCTTCGCCGGCGCAGTCGTCGCTGCCAACGCCAACGCCGTCGCCACCGTCAACGTTGGCGGCGACGACAACGTCGCCGTCGCCGCCGTGGTCGTTGCCGTCGTCACTCTCGCAGTCGCCGCCGTGGTCGACGCCGCCGCCGTCGCCTGAGCCTGTTCCTGCGCTGTCGGCGCCTGTGCTGGCGTCGTTGCCGCCGCCAGTGGCATCGCAACCGTCGCTGTCGTCATCGCCGCCTGCATCGTCGTCGGCGCGTTCGCCGACGCCGTCGTCGTCGTCGCCGACGCCGACGCGACCGCCGTCGCCGCCGCCGCCGCCGCTGTCGCCGTTGCCGCCGTCGTCGTGTTCATGGCCGTCGCCGCCGTCGTCTTCGCCAGCGCCGTCGCCTTCGCCGTTGCCACCGCAATCGCAACCGTCGCCGTCGTCGTTGCCCGCGGCGTCGCCACCTTGGACAACGCCGTCGGCGGCGACGTCGCCGTCGCCGCCGTGGTCGTCGCCATCCCCGCTCTCGCCGTCGCCACCGTCGCAGTCGCCGCCTCGGTCGTCACCGCCGCCTTCGCCTGCGCCGTCGTCGTCGCCGTCGTCACCGCCATCGCAACCGACGCCATCGTCGTCGTCGTCGCCGGCGTCGTCGTCGGCGCCTTCGTCGTCGTCGTAACCGACGCCGTCGCCGTCGCCACTGGCCCCCGTCTTTCTAAGGGGCGTGTGTCGCGCAGCCTCGTCGTGCTGGCAGCGCGCTGCGAGGCGCCCCGCAAGCCGCAGCACCCGCGCGGTCGTAGTGCGCGCAAGCGGGCTGTGTCGGATTTGTCGTCGCCTTCGTCGTCGCCTTCGTCTTCGTTTTCGTTTCCGCGCCCGCGCAAGAAAGGGCATAATGCTCCCCGTGGCGCTTCGTCGTGCCATGTTGCGTCCGATTCACGCGCTTCAGATTTCAAGTGGAGTCCGCATTTTCGTGCAGGTTTGGGGGCGGTCAGTTCCGCCCGAGTTGACCCCGCCCCACAGGGCAAACAAGTCGTTGGTCGAGGGCATTCATTAAACAACTTGGGACCAGAAGGCTGGCGGGCTGCTCTCATCCTGCTCTCCTGCTCCCCCTTGTCTCTCCTCTGGATTTCCTCTGAATCGCCAGTTTGCGACAGTCGCATGGGTCGACATCGCGTCGCGGGCAATCGCAATTCAGCGGCTGCTCTGCTTCGAGCCCCTTCGCCTGTCCTTCACCCTGCGTTTACAGACTTCCGACGCCGACGTCGTGATTTTCCACGACGTGTCTGGACCTTTCCCGGGGACCGGCCTTTCATCGTGAGTCGTTTTGACGGCTACCAGGCCCCAGAGAGGGCTCCCAGGGGATTTGTTCACAGCGAAGAATGCTGGTGCCCGTGGGATGGGTGGAGGCAGCAATGGCGCTTTTGCACGGCCCCAGAGGACGCGACGGGCCCTGTCGAGCCCGGGCATGCCGAGCAGAGCCCTACTGGCGAGGTCGACTTGGGAACGGCTACGCGAGGGGACGGGATCGAGGAGGACGTCGTGGAGGAGGGCGCCGCGCAGGAGGCCGCCATGGAGAACGTGGGCGCCGAGGGCGCTCTGGAGAGCCAGGATTTGGAAACGGAGGTGAACAGAGCCCCGCACGGATTCGTTGGATCGGCGCTGGACCCCCTGGTGGGCGCCTGTAGGCCCCCTCCGTGGCGCGACCCGCGCGTCAACGAAGGGGGTTCAGCGCCGATCCCCGCCCCTCCCCGCGGATCTCCGAGCGTGCCGTTTTCCCTCCACGCAGGCCGCTCCCGACGGGGAGCCCGCCGATGCCACGGCAGAGCTGGGGCCCCCAGCGAGGTCCCCGGCCAGCCCGGCCTGCACAGGGGCGAGCCCAGAGGCCGCCGCCGGCGTCCTGGAGGCGGAGGAGGAGGAGGAGGAGGAGGGTGCCGCGGCCGAGGTGGGCGCCGAGGGCGTTGCGGGGCTCCCTGCGGAGGAGCTGGTCGGGTCGGGTCGGGAGGGCAACAGGCAAGCGGGGGGCACGAGCCCTGCTGCATGCAGCCGGTTCTTGCGCCGCCGCCAGGCGCGTTCCTTGATGCGTTGGCGCCTCGGTCGCTGCGAGGCGCTGGGAAAACCACCTCCGCTATCGGAAGTCGGAAGTACGATGTGCCACTGGGACTCAGATTTCGAACCGTTCGGCCTCTGACTCGTTTGTTTCGATTGTGTTGCTCAATTGTGTAATTCCTCGGGTTGATTTGCGTTTGTATGTGCTGTTCCGCGGGACGTGAGTGAGGCGCATTAGTGTCGCGAACGTTGCTTTATCTTGCGCAGTTATGTGCTTGTATGTCGGAGTAAGACGCATGAGGGGAATTCCTGCGATCGACCTGGGTTAACAATCATCTCCATCGGGGTGGAGGGGTGGAAATGGGTGACGGGGAAGGAGCAGGTGAAGGAGTGAGAGTGGTGTGGCGGTGAGGATTTGGAGGTCGGGGGGGCGAGTGGGGTGACGGGCATCAGACGACGACGCGATGACAATGTCGACGGCGACGAGGGGCAAGAACAACAACCGCGATAGCAGAAGTGGGCGCCGCCCAACAGACTCAGTTTGGATTCGCGGCTGCGGCTTCGGGGGCCACTCATCCGATTTCGGGGTAATCAGAGGGCGCAGGCGGAGAGCTGGGGGGTGAGCTGCGCGGGTGGAGGGGCCGAGGAGGAGCGTATATGACACATGCTTGAATAAGAGTTGATGAGAACGAGGAGTAGGAGGACGGTGGTAATCAATGGGGGGAGGAAGAGGTGGGGAACAGGGAACAGGGGAAGAAGCAACGGGGCAATGAGGAGGAGGGATACTAAGATCAACGTGGAGTACGAGGTGGTGAAAAGGTGGGCGATGAGAAGGAACAGTAAAGGAGTTCATCTCGGCGACGACGTGTAAATAGGTTCCACGGTTTACGATCTGAGTTCTGTTCAGCCGTTACCAAGGGCGTGTCCCGCAGTACATTCCCCAATCATTGCCTGCATTGAGCGGGCCCTCGCGGAGATTGCCATGCTTGGAGTAGGTACCGTGCATACTTCGGTGGGTGGCAACATTCCTTGCCCGATTCTGAGAATGCGAGGATGTGGCGAAAGTGCTAGGCTAATGGCTGGCAACTGCGAGGTGCTGGGTTTCCTAAAGTCCCCCAGCTCGCTTTTGCTGAAGGGTCCTTGCGGAAAGGCGTCCTTGAATCCTCGGAGTGTTTTGTTTACTTTCTGGGCCACTGCGCCATACCGCGCGCCATGCCCCATACCCCCCTCCCTACATGATCGCAGTTCGCAACACGTTACCCACAAAAGCGGGCGTCATTTCGAGGAGGATGTCACCAGCGTGAATGTTTCGCCATCTTGCCCACCCGTCGAAGGCATAGTCGTCGACCACAGGAACAGCAGCCTGCGCAGCATCAGCCCGAGCATGCTGATATGAGTCCTAACGCGCCGTGTCGCCCCGAGGTTGCGCGCAGCCACCGTCGGTTCAAGGAACCACCTACGAATCCCAAGGCTCTTGGGGAGTATTGAAGGGATTTTGGGAGCCACGATTGAGAGCATCGAGAGGCAGCTCAAGATCGCGGTTGACCTCAACATGGACAAGAATCACATCAGCAACCCGCAGGAGGAAGTCATGTCATGGAGTGCATCATCTACCCAATGATACACTCCATAACAGCCAAGGACGCCAAGCAACAACAATTCGCAGCACGATGTCGGATGATATTGGCCGATATTCAGTCCAAATTCAAGGAGACAGAGTTTCTGCTAGACGCACGCGCCACACATATCGACAATTCTCTGGGGTCCTATAGGACCTTTCGTGGACCGTGCCGTGCACTTGGAAGCTGAAGAAGAACAGCCCAGCCAAGCATAATATCGAGCACTGCACCGTCCGGAGGCAGATGCAACGGAGGACGACGCTTGGGGTAAACATGAGGATGACAAGGATATTGTTGCTTGTCGTTTTCGCCCCGATGGATCAGCACCGACCTTTCGCAGAGGCGCATTATCGCAGTCACCAGCAAGTATGATGGCATCATCACCAAGTTCTGGCCCTTCGTCAGCGGCATGCACTTCAGCCGATGGCGTCAGTGGCAAAAACAATGATAACATTGCCTCAACCCCGCAGTGTTCGCGCAGATCAAGCATGCCAGCATGTAGCCGGTCAAGCTGATTACCTCCGACAAGAGCATCGTGCAACAGCTGTCCAAACGGGTAGAACCTATGGATATAGAGAAACAGCAAACCATTGCCCAGCGCATGCCAAGATCAAGACCACCACGCAGCCAGGCAAGGGCAAACGAGCCAGAATTTATCCGCCGACAAGATTCGGATCTTCTGCTAGCTCCGTGGCGAGGGCTCCAGACAGGCTAGAATAGTGCTCGGGGACTCCCACATGGGCCCCTTCTACATGTCGTCGGGCATCATCGGGGACTGCGCGGTTGGGGCGGTCAGGAAGCATCCGCATATGCGAACGCAGTTCGACAAAATTGGATTGGGCGGGTTGGAGCTACGGCGCGGGGGCAGATCCGTGCAGCTGACCAGTTCGCCCCTACGCAGGCGGCCGCAAACGTATTTGTGCTGCAGCCCAGCGTCTCCCGCAAGTAGCGTGCCAGCACTTTGCGGACACGTCATTGTGCTGTTGTTTTCTTTTCAAGGCGGTTCGGCCAGATCTCAGCTGACCAGCGCGCCCGCCTTCAGCCTGCGATGATCAACGACCATCGAGCGATGCGCGGGCGGGGGCAGTCCGACGACCAGGCGGCGAGACGCGCTTGTTGTTTCTTTACATTTTTGAGGGGTGGTCTACGAGCGGCACTTCGGGCCCATCGTCTAAGACTCTTTGGAAGGCCCATCCACCATGGGACCCTTGCGAGGACTTGTGACTCGCGTGTCTCGGACCGCCATTACTACCGAGGACTCCTGTTTACATGGGGTCCTGGAGGGCCCCGGGTGGATCTGGGATGCGCGCCGCTGGGTCCGCGAAGATCCCTGGCCCCGCCCAGGACACTGCCGCGGGGGAGGGTCGCGTCGAGGCCTCGCCCCCGAACTGGCGAGGAAATGCTGGCGCATCCCCCCAGGCAGATGCATCCGTCAAGTGCGAAGCAGCAAGAGCCAATCAGGCCAGGAAGCAGTTGTTCGCCAGCTGGTGCGCGCGCCCCTATCCAGCGCGCCAGCTTTTCATGCGGCCGACGCCGGCATTGCAGCGCGCGCGGTGCTCGCGCCAATGGAGTGGGCAGAAAGGGTTACTGTCAGACGCCGTTCTACACGCTGCCGCGCGTTACATGTGGCATCGCGCTTCGCGGGGGAGGGCTACATATGCATGGCGTACCCCGCGGGCTTCTCGGCCAGACGTCTGTTGAGCCAATGTGCTGTCTAGCCAACTACCTGCGCGGCGCAGCAGTGGGCAGGCCGATGGGGCCATGGCAACAGGAGGCTGATGAGGTCTCGTGACAGCGCGAGGCTGGGATTGGCAGGTGGAGAGCAGCCATGCCCGCAACGCCAGAGATCCAACCTGGCGGTCTCTATCCATCCTTTTTGCTCGTCTTCTCGCATTACACAGATGAGGGGGCAAGGGGCGCCCCGCGTCAATCCGCGCGTGCAGTCTCTTCCGGTGCTTGCGTCAACTGCGCGGCCCCCCCCCCGATTCTGGCTTGCGCGACCAACCCGGGCCCCCTCTGCCGCAGTATGCCAGTCGCATCCAGAGGTACCGCCCCCACGACTACGCCAGATGCTCAGGTTTTCTTTGCCTGATTGACACCCGTCGCCGCGAGATCTACGCCCCCAATTTCTCCTCTTGTCGTCGACGGGAAGGGGGCGTGCAGGCGTGGGTTGAGAATGAATGCCATGGGGCGGCGTGTCACATAGACATACCAAGTGTAGACATTGCAATCCTGGAGCAGCTTGGAGATCTCAACCAGGCCAGTGCCAGCCCTGGGCGGCCCGGTCGCATTCCTGCCAGGAGAGCGTAGAACGCGGGGCGGGGGGGGGGCCGCGAGGCGCGGGGCACCGCGGGATGGCGCGGGCCCCCCCCCGCCGCCCAGGACGAAAGATCCGTTCTGCGGTGCGCCGTGGGTCGCCGAGTGACCGTCTTTCAGCTCGACGTTGGCAGCGAAGCACTCTGGGGCCCCACCCCCCTATTAGGATGACATTCCAAGGCGGGCACACCCAGCTGGATGGGGCGTCCGATGCCAGCGACCCGGCAACCCGAAGTTCCGCATGAGTTTCAATGAGGGCCACTCCGACTCCTAGGCCGCAGGCCCACGCGCTTCGTGGAGCATCTCACGAGCACCCCCGGGCGGGGAAAGCGCCTCCGCCCCCTTGTGTCCGGCGGGTATTGCTAGGGCAGAACAAAGACTCGGGCGAATTTTGCACCCAAAGCAGAAGGGCGTCTCCGACCTCTAGTTGTGCTGGCATGTCGGTAGCTGCGCGGGCCTCGGTGGGCCATTCAGACGTCAACGACATCGGCGAAGATCGTGAGCGCATGCGGGAGTGCCCAAAATTGTTGGGGCTCTAACGGACGTCTATGCGAGCGCCACACATGCCCGCTTCCAACCCTCTCCCGACTTCGCTTCTACTCGGACGCGCTCCAAGAATCAGACGGGCACGTCGCAGACCCAGGTGAGGCTCCACGAGTTCCCGATGCCACGTGGGAGAGCTGTCCTTGTTTCCGTCTCCGGCTCCGACACCTGCTACAAAGGGCGGCCTTTTCTCCGCCGCGTAGATCGTTGGATCTATTGATGCTTGGACAGGGCCAGAGTAACTAGCAGTTTCCAGCTTTCCAGGCCCTTCCCCCTCTTCGCTTCCCCCGCCCCCCGCCCCCCCCCCCTCTCGCCGCGGAGCAGCCCGCCCGTGCGGCTGCGAATCAGAACGGGGCCAGGCTCTACAGAAAGGCCAGGCGCGTTGCTGATCATCAGCGACGGGCGCCGCGGCAAGGCGCCCCTCGCTGCCTTTTTGGCACCGCTTAGGCGCGCC